AATCATAATAATGATAATCATAATAAAAAACAATAACAAAAGTAATTGTGTTATTGTTATTATTGGTATTGTTGTTATTATTGTTATTATTGTTATTATTAATGTTATTTATTTATTTATTTATTGATATATATATATATATATGCGAGAGGGACCCCGGAACCATCGGGCTTTTGAGCCCTGGGGTCAAGGGGAGTGCCGAAAATCCGTGGCGTCCAGTGTTCTCTGTCGGCTCGAAGAATCTTCATTCGATTCTTTCTCATCTTTCTCTCTCTAGAGCTCTGTTTGGGTGGGCGCCTCCATCGTGAGAAACCTTAAGCCCAAACCCGTACACCATAAACCCAATGCCACCCTCATCCAAAGACCCCAAACCCCTAGAAACCAAAATTCGACCGCAAGGAGCGACGAGGCCCGCGCCGTAGTCCGCACGCACGGAGGATCCTCCTCCACGGTGGTAGGCAGTCGCAGCGGACAAGTGCGGTATCGACACAGATAGGGGTCGGAAAACTTAACAGGGTTATCCCTTGAAAACACGTCTTGTTCTATAGCTACATCAACGGCTACATCAACAAGTTGCACCCAACGCCTATTCAAATTTTGGGGCCCCTGTACACACAAGCCGAAAACTGTAACCCAAATACTTGAGCTGGTGATATGAAGTCTAAGACTTTGGGTTCAATCCGGGGTTTTGCGCTTCGGCTTAAAAGTTAGGGGCTTAGGATTCAGTTTTTTATCATGTAGGAGGTTCACATTTCTGGCGTTTGTCTGGTGAACTGGCTATCGTTGAGACCTGGCAGTTGTGTGAAGCAGTTGCTAGCTACAGTTTTACAACACATGACTTTGGTCTAGAACATGTGCTACATAATATTAATTTCATGTTAATGTGTTGTCCATGCACATATCCCACTTACCCCTCTTTTGAGCCTTTGCACAACTGTGACCTGTATGCATACATACACATATAGACATGCTGCATGGAACAAAATGTTACATCCGTTTTCTACAAAATGTTACCTCCGTTTTCTTGAAGCACACCTTTTCCGTGCTATTATGACAGATGACAGAAGAAGGGCTTCACCTAGTTTGGCTTTCCCGTCACTGTTGGTTCCTGACCCCTTTCGAACCCAAAACAGATGACAAAGTTGCCTGCGACAGCTTGCAGTTAATCTGCATGAAGGCCTGATCGTGTCTCCGGTGGGTTCGGTGGAGATGACAGAGTCACAGCTCGTACGCTCCATCAGCCCAATCCGGCAAAAGAGCATGTAGACTCAGAGGCCCTGCCAAAAAGGAGTGCACTACTTGACAGCCAAATCTTGCCATGTTTCCGAGGTTCTGATGAACTTGGTCTCTGAGTGCAGCCGTTGCAGTCTGTCCAACTGCCCCATTTGGTCACCATCCCCCCAAAGCTAACATCCGTACCTACCTTGATTCGTTGCCATGGCCGACATTGGCAGCACGGGAGGTCAGAGTCATCGCCATGGCCAAGCGCCGAGAACACCCATTTGCTGCCTGACTTCTGCTGGGTTCTGCTGCGATGCTCATCCCAGGCTGAATGCCGGCTGCTGCCAGGACCCTGCGCCCGGGAGTGCTGAGTAAAAACTCGCGGCTCGCAGCTTACAGCAATCCCGGGCGAAGGTTCCGGGGCATGGATACACGTGAAGTCGATTGTAAGGCAATGCTTAACAGCTTAAGCCCACAACCCAAAAAGGACTAGTCATCTAAGCCCTGATTCGACCGAGTTCGTCCTAAATCCGAAACCCTCCACCCCAATGCCGAAAAAACCCTGCCTCCTTAACTCATGGAGCCCTGAACTTAGTGGACCTAGTAGTACATCAGGCAACCTTCGACCTTTTTGTGGTACTATATTATAACCTTTAGTTTCTGTAGAATCGGGACAGACAAGATACGATTCCTCAGGGTTCCTAGTTCCTAATTCTAACTGCATTGCATATCCCTGGGGTTCATGATGGTGCTTGGAATACATTTCCTTTGGACTCCTAATGATATTTGCATTGTATTCCGTTAGAGTCTTAGGGTTCCTGATTAAGAATATATATATATATATATAGAACGAAAGCCAGGGATTCCTATGAGTCGGGACGCTCCCGGCTCCCTCAGCGAGCTCCGATTGGGGCGCCATGAGCTGGAGGCGAGAGGGGGGAGGGCGCAGCTTCGGTGGGTTCATGACAGTACCCTGAACCCTTAGCCCCTAACCCCGAGACCCCAAACCCCTGAACCCTCTTAAGCCCTTAGACCCTTCAACACTAAACCCCCTAAAGCCTAAGCCCGTGTGTTGTTGTATTCTTTGTAAATACTGCTTATGTCGTTCGTTTTCTTAGTGGCCTGCTGTATGACCGATGTACACAATTGACCACAATCGCACATCGTTTGTTCTGATAAGCGGTCTTTTCTCTTTGATAGCGTTGCTTCGAACGTTCCTTCACTTTTCGGTGTTAAGGTCATCCTTAACCTTCCTTTCATTGCATACATAGCCGTAATTTTCGTAATGATATTATCTTTTCTTTTCCAGAAGATGTTGCCTGTGTTCATTCCAATATTCCTTTCGTGTTCTACCAGACACAACTTGCTCCGCACGGTCAATTTCTCTCATAGGCTAGCCTTCTTGCTTGAGCAACTCTGCTCGTGTTTTGCATGGGCAATACTCAGCAAGTTCAATCTTGCAGTTTCCAATGCCAAACTCATCAAAGACTCTATTCGCTCCCCTGTGACTATCTGCGTTGCTATTTATGCATTCTTGGTATTTTTGGGTATCTTTTGCAAGCCTGTTGCCGAATGGTTCTGCTTCCCATGGTTGACGGTATAACGTGCCATGAATTTAAATGTGCAGTTAGCTTAACGTAAAACGGCTTAAAGGGATGTTGGTAATGATAAGTAGGTTGCATCTGTTTGAGACGCCGTTTGACCGTTTATTCAACCTCGTTAGTGGAAATTACTGAGTAATGTTTGATAGACGCTGTAAATGGTTGAACAAATTAGCGTATAAGTTGCAAAGAGCTGTTCAAACAACGCAGCATTAAGCACACTATGCATGATGCACATGTTTATCGTTTCGTACTCTGATGTGTCATCATCCATGGCATTTTTACCCTCAGCCCCCGAGCCCCATGGATTTCACCGCGGTTCATCACACGTTTGCAACAAGCAAGAGCGTGGAGAAATCCTGAAGCCGAAACCGTGTGGGTTTAGGTTAGGGCTTAGTGTGATGTCTGCTCCTGTATCCCCAGGACTGGTCTTTCCTCAAAGCTGAACGTCGCGGCGACCAAGGGTAACGTGTCTGAGGCCGACCTTCCCTAAACCCCTGAAAAATGTGCAAGACCGGAGCTTTCAGGATCCCAACAGCTGGGCGTGACGGGAGGTAGGATTCAGGATTCCTGACAATTGATGGGCTCTCGCTTGAGATTCACCCACCTACATTAATTCCTTCGCGCCTGTGGGGCCCAACTTAAGATTTGGTATGCGAAGCCTGGCGGCATGGCTGCTGCAACCTCCACATGCTGGTCCCTCGGGCACACCCGCGGTGCTAGAGGGGCGCCTCGCTGGGTAACACGAGGATAACACGCGGTACGTTCCGGTGTAGCTCCAAGTCGGCCGGGAGCTCTGAGTCGAGTATGGCCTGGCCCTCTTCCGGGAAGAGACCCGGGTGCGAAGTCCCGGACAGATAACGTGACAAGGGGGTCATCATTCAATCGAGCAAACTCCGTTTCACGGCAAAGCACCACCGCCCCACTGCAGTCAACCCTTGGGCCCACAGCACAACGAAGGACTAGGATGAGCGCACCCCTGCATAACTACGAGAACATTGAGTATGTTTGCGACATTCATGCGCTGGGCAGCTACGCCGCCGCAATCGGGCAACTTCCACTCGCAAATGCATCCTCACTGGCCCAGGGGTCCTCTAGGATGCCGAAAGCCCCTAGATATCTTAGGTCCGATGCCTGCAAAACCCTTAACCTCAAGGCACCAGACACCCTTGACCTCACTGTTTCTATCATCCGTTTGTCAGAATACTGTATGATATACAGACGGTGCTGGAAACGCCGCCAAGGTTGTGTACACTCTTGCTGAACTCCCACAAAGACCGAACCCTATAGTAGCGGTGTATAAGCTGTGCTTAGTCCCTAGAACTTTACTGCATCATGAACGTTTCGACAAGCCACAAGCGTGCCTTGATGGAGATTTACATCAATCAAGGACCCCAGCAGACACCCATGCACGGATGGCACAGACCCCGAACGGTTCGTCGTCTTGTCAAGCGGCAGCCATCGAACGAAAGAACTTTCGAGGAGCAAACCCCTGGTAAACCCTACCGTGCTTTCAAGCCTCAAACCCTAAACCCAAAAACCCTCAACCCCACCGTTTTTTCAGGCCTCTGCCATCTTCGAGCAACTGTGGACCGGAGCACAGCACCCCAGCGCCACGATGTTTTGCAACACCATGCTCAAGGCAGAGCCCGCCTGGTGTTTTCTAGGTTTCGGGCCTTTGCTGGGGGTTTTGGGCCTTTGCTGGGGGTTTTGAGTTTAAGGTTTAGGGTTTCGGGCCTCTTTTGGAGTTTGGAGTTTGAGGTTCAGGGTTTCGGGACGAGTTTTGAGTATAGAATTTAGGGTTTTGGGCCGAATCTGGTGCCTGAAGATTTACGTGCCTTGGGGTTCCTGATTCGACGTGTACGATAAGATGCCGCCAAAGGCCTGAAACCGGATTAAGGACAAATAGTGCTGGGATTCTGCAGATTCCTTATGATACTACTCTTAAGGATTGAGGCTATTGGGTTTCTAACTTTTGGTCTTCTACGATATGTAGGGTTTAGCGTTGAAGAGCCGGAAAACCAATTCAAGTACCACACCGACTTGTGTTCGGTTGACGTTCGCAAGCCTCAAAGGCAGCCAACGTTTGGCTATTGCATAAACGATGGGGTTTAGGGTTTAGGGATTGTTGAAAAACAGATCATGACAGGGTTACATTTCCGGGCTTTTTTGTTCTTTGACCCGACTCGGCCGAAAGCAGAGGCCTATGCAAACGCAGGGGATTTCCCTGGTGCCAGCCGCTGGGTTCAGGAGCGTCAATTAAAGTATATTCATACTATATGAAACTATATGACATGATATTGCAGTATAACGTCTGGTGGGGGCTGCGTGGTTCATGGCTTCTAGGCTTTGGCACCAGTCAGGGTGATCTGAAGGACTACACTTGGGGTTCGGTGCTGCAGAGTGTTCGGCCATGTCGGCATGCAAGTGAAGGATGCTCTGAGGCACTTCCGTGCAATTTCAAGAGCAGCCTCCAGAAGCTTGTCTGAGACACGCTACCACTTCTCAGAGCCAACCCGAACCAAAGCTCGCACAGAGTCATGATTGACACAAGCTTTTGGCAACTGGTGTTTTACAACTGCGCTCTAGTTTAGAGAAGCACTTGCTTGGCGCGAGGAGATGCATCGCCAGAGCGTGCGGACGAACACCAAGACCATCGGAAAGCTCATCGAGTCTGCAGCCAAAGCTGGCCAGGCCGCCAGGCCATGTTGGCAACAATATATGGGAGGTTGTCAAAATTATGGTGCCTTTTTGGTCCTTATTATAATACGGCACCTATTATTTAGGGTACCCCAAAAGGGACCATAATTTTGACAACTACCCATATTATGACAATACTCAAAACAATGTTAGAAATACGATCAACATTCATTGCAATAGAAATAGCAATAGTAAAAGCAATGGCAACAGCAACAGCCATAGCAACAATAGCAACAGCATTAAAACCAGTAATATTAATACAATATACAACAATACATCGTGAGATATAAGAACATATCATACAATATGTATGACAAATAACCATATATATATATATATAGCGTTGAAATCCTGTGCCTGTCTCTTTGTACTTTGTACTGTAGCATCATATGGTTGTGACTGCATATGCTGATATGAGCAGAAGACCCAGCACATCAACTGGATACACATGTGCAGTTGCATGCAAATTTCTCTACAACATCGGACATGTCCAGGTAGAAACGACGACAGATGCTTATGCGGTGCTAAGCTGCATGTTTCCGCTGTGTAAAGATGTCTGCACATATTAATGTTATAACGCTTTGCGTACATGTTGTCTATGCATTCTCCGACAAAAACAGATGCATGATAATGCAGCCATCGATAGAACCATCTCCTGGAACGTGATCCCTCAACATAACCTGAACCCCCAAAGCTTCAGGCTCAAACCTTGAACTGTCAGTTGTAGCATGTAAGCCTCAAGCCTCCAACCGTACATGTTTTGTCGCTGCTCCCGAAATCTCTGACACTGTCAGTGGACTTAAGCCTGGGGGAAGCTGAAGGGAGGCTTCTGAATCGATCAGCTGTCTGGGCTCGGGAGGGCTTAAGGTCACTCTATGATACTATGGCTGTATTGATGATGCTAGATCGCTCACGAACATAACGAACCCGTATGCCGGAAGGTGTTTCAGAACTTTTTGCACTACTTTTTGCTACACTCCCAATATCTGCAGGCTCTAAGCTTCGAACCCTGGAGCCCGAAGCCCCTCTAAAGCCTGAAATCCCCGAATCCCCTACCGGAAACCCTCAACTCCCTCTTAAAATCCGAATGTTTGAGTCCAAAGGCAGATCTGGCTCTCGAATGGTTGGCCGAGAATGGGGATGCCGCGAATCCGGTGATGTTGGGCGCGGTGCCTCGGAGAGATTTGGGCTTTCATGGGTATTTGTAGGTATACGAGAATATGCCCTTCAACTCTAGTATTAGCAAATTTTAAAGTTGAATATACCCCTAAAGTCCTAAAGGCCAATTTGTTCACTCCCTTTTGTAAGTACAGTTATGGGGCGTAAGGGTTGTGGGTTCGGGAGCTCGGACCTTGTGCGGGCGTTCTGGGATCGAGGGGCAGGATCTTTCAATGGGTAGTTCTCTAGCTGAAGATCCCTTGTAAGGGTGTCTATGAATGTTTCTATCAGAATACAATAAGGGTTCTATAGTGGGTAGTTCTGTACATGAGGGTCCCTTTCAAGGTCCTCTGTATAAGGGTGCCGTACTACTTCGGGGGGACCCCAAAAGTTGGAAGAACCACTCTACTCTCCTATATTAATGGCCACTTCTAGTCCCTATCTCACGGGGTATTCCTTTTGCGGTATATTGTACTACAGTCTATAGTATATACTTATAATGTCTTAGATATAATATCTTGCAACGATAGCCCCTTCTGGTCGCTATTTCTCACTATAGAACAATACCTTGTAGTGATATCCCTCCTCATCAGCTCCTATCAAGCTATAGTAGAAGATACCCTGAAGCCTGTTGAGATTCCGTTTCATATTGTTTTGGAATGATCTGACACTCTCCGAGGTCCTCCACGCCTTCGCCCGGTCGGCGGCCTGCACCGAGGCGGAGGCATTCCTCTCGCGGCTTCCGGAGGCGTCTGACGCTGAAGAATTGAGGAAGCAATGTGAGGACTACTACACGGAAATATGTAGGGACAACTATACGGATCCACCCGCGAGGGCTCTTCCAGTACTTTGGTCGTTCTAAGGGTGTGGTGGTTCTGGTCGGGGCATGAGGACAGTCTGCAGAAAGCCGTTGAACAACAGATTGTCGCATGAGCAGCCTTTACGTGAAGCCCCCTGCCACTTCCATCTCCATGATTGAGGGCTGTAGGATGCATGGTGAGGTTGAGGCTGAAGTGCTTCAAAAAGCGTCCGAAAAATCATGCTGTTTACGTGCTCTCTGACCGTGTACAAACTGACACGCATTGTGTGGCCGTCTTGTTTCCCATATCGCAATGCCTGAGTACTTCACATAACAACGTCTACTATTCTTTGAAGAATGGAATATCACAGAAGGTGAACTACGTGAGCCGCATATGTCCACCGCTCAGAAAAGCGTGCAGCCCAACGTGATCTCCTTCAACACTGCCTCTTAGATGCAATCATGCCTTGCCTTACCCAACAGAACACATAATTCGGAACATGTTGTTTTCGCGCGTAATGCGCGAATGCAGATGTTACAAAGCAAGGTTTTGGCATCATTAGCACAACGAAATCATGCAAAACCTCGAGGTTTTGTCTTGTGCGAGTGCGGAGTAATGATCTCTGAGTACATGAAAGCATCACGAAAGCCCGAGTTTCATGGTGAATTTGCAACAGGGGAGCCTTTTCGCTGGTATTTGCAGCATTTCGTACACCTCGATAAACAACACAGAATCCCGATAGACGCAATCCTGAACACTAAGTAGTTCCCGGGACACCCCCAGGGACAGACATCTGATGATTGGCCACAAAAGCTCAAGTGATTGCCACTACTTAATTCCTTAGGACTCCTTAGTTTGGCCCTGTAGAACATCAGGATCCGAAGTGTAGGATTGTTCGGTGCTTTGGAACAATTAGGATAGGGGTTTTGAGCTCCTTAATGCCGTAGTTCTAGTGCGAAACCCTGAGGAATAACAATGGTATTTATTTAGGCTTCTCTACTACCTCTGGCTTTGCATGTTCGTTTCGCAAGCAAGGCTGCGGGCTTGTTGCTTTTGTGCTCCACTGGTCCTTCGTAAAAATTGAGATTCTTACTCTGCCAGTCGCTTTGGCAGTCAGTTATTGCCACTACTATAGCGATTATTGAGAATCCCCAGCGCAAGCAGCAAACAAGGGCTGCACGATGGGTGACCTAAGTCCATGAGGTTGCGACGCAGCTGCAGACTCGACTCTGTAAGCCCTAAACCTACAAACCCTAAAAGCCCCTGTAAACCTATATGCCCCAGAAGCCCTATAAGCCCTGGACCAAGAAGTTGAATCCCAGTCAGACCCCAACCATCAAAGCCAGACGAAAGCCTTGACGCCAGACCTTCACAGGCTGCCTGAAGAATCCTGAGTTTCAGTATACCAGAATTTCCGTCCAAAGCCCTATCCTAGTTACTCATCGGGGTTCCTTCCTCTAAATCTACATACTTGTCTATACTATACACCCAGAGCCCTACTCGAAACCTTCAGGGACCCTTTCTTAGGCGGACGGTCCTCAGGTCATCGCATGCTATTCAGACAAGGGCCTCATGGATCGAGCCCAGGAGCCCCCAAACCGGGGGGGGTTGAGTTTTTTTGGACTTAAGGGCTTCCGGGTTTGGAGTTTCGGGTTTGGGGGTTTGGGGTTTTGGGGGTTTAGGGTTTGGGGGGTGATCTTATACGCCGAGCCCAAACACATGAACTGGTTCTTCAGGCAAAGCCAGGACCCAACTCCAAGTGCGAAATCCGAAAACCTTCAAGATGCGTTTTGAGAAAAGCCTGACTTGGAAGCATTCCTTCAGGGTTTTGGGTGTAGGGTTGCGAAAAGAGGGCTGGACATGATGCATGTGATGCCAGGAATGCTTGGGAGCCATGAAGCGTCAGAGGCTACAGCCTACACTCCCATCCTACAACGCCCTCCTGCAAGGCTTTGCGAGGCCGGGCCTGAGAGGTTTCCGCGAAAAAATGGTGTTTGTGTGTTCGAGTTTTGGGGATGGGTGGAGTCATTGTAGGTTTAGTGAGGTTTAGGGCAGTTTAGGGTTTAGGGTTGAGTGGTCATGACTCGGGCTGCAGGTACCGAAGGCCCAATGTCCAATGCCCTTGCTGAAGCAAAATATGTCATGGTCCAACCGTTCACACCATGAACCTGAGACTGTGCCCCTGAAACCACGTTCCTTACGTACACCGCTCGCCCGTAAAGCGAATGGTCTTCCGGTTTCGATCTCTGACTCACGTTCGAATCATTCCCTTCCCATGCAAAGCACTGGCTTCTGTGTTTGCGTTCTGGGCAACTTATTCTTATCGTTCTTCTGTTTGGCTGTTGTTACTTTAACTTTTTGGGATTCTGTATGAACTATGGTTAATGGGCCGAAAGTTTAACTTTTAGGAGGGGTTCAGAAGTCAGCCAAGTCATCTTCAGCGATGTTTGCAGCCCCTTGAAACTCTCACTTGTCGGTCGAACTTCCCAAACCCTTCAGCCCCTTGCCGCAAATACCAAAGCCTACCTTCAGTCCCAAACCCAAGATCCTGCACCCTAGACGCTAAACTCTCCAGCACAACAATAAAATGATACGACATAGAATAAATCATATGTATAATATGTACATATAGTACCATGATTCTTATCATGATGATTATCTGTAGTAGTCGTCGTCGTCGTAAATAGTTTCTTATTCTTATTGTCATTATTGATAATGTTAATGATACTGTGTATTGTTGTTATTATTGTATCATACTCTAATAAAGTGTACGTTATGTGTATATATATATATATCTTTATATGTAACTTTTGCAGAATACTTCAATACAATATATCATGTAATCTATAGTATAATAGAATAATCCTTGACCTGAGAGGGCCTCAGAGTCTGCTCACGCCGTGCGGACGCTGGCGCGCCTGGTCGAGGCAGCGGGGATGCAGTTTGAGAGGATTTGGGGTTTGGGGTTGAGCGCTTAGGGTGTAGGGTTTAGGGTTTAGAGCTTAGGGCCACGGGGTTTAGGGCTGTAGGGCTTAAAGCCTCAGGGTGCAGTCGTGAAGTCGCTTGGGATTTGTTCGTGTTGTGTATACTGTAGGGTGTACAGATTTAGGGCTTGCGAGCCCCCTTCCCAACATCCGTATCCAGATTTCAGACACAAAGTGCTTCATGGAAAGAGTTGCGTACCCTGCTTACCGTAACTCGGAGTCTAGAATGGATTAAGTCGGTTTCGGAAGATGCCTTCAGATTGAGCTCATTGAACCATTCCTCAGTTTGGGTGCAACAAGAAACCAAGCCGAATCTAGAGGTCAAAAAGTCAAAAAGAAAGCTCAGAATAACAACAGCAATAAAACATAGTAATAGCAAGCAAATGAATAAGAACGAACAATAAAAAGACAATAATCACAACGAAAATATAATCCTGTTCGGTCCCTACATAGTTGTTATACTGTGACCTAGCCCTCAGACTCTATTCCAACTATCAAGGGCTCCCATATTAATGACATGTGATTTCCTTTTAGCGAAGCAGAATGCCCATTCGATTTGTACATATCGGTTTGGGATAATTGTTGATTTCCCTTGTTGTTTAATAGTAGTGATAGTAATAATAGTAATAATGATGATAATCATAATTTTGGGGAGTGTTGAAATCAACACCTAGATCTGCAGTTCAGACTTGGGAGTTTCGAAAATGCAGGAGTGGTATAAGGATTATAAGCACGTGTAAACAAAGTACTCCTAGATTCAGAAGCCCTGAACAGCCTCATAACACCCTAGGGCAGCCACAAAATGTGGATTTCGATTTCCGATTCGCCTTTCGGCGCGATCTCCGTGTGGCGGTGGAAGCGGCGAAATAATGAAATCTGATAGGACTCAGCAGCTACTTTTTACATCCTGAACGAACTCCCATGCTGTGCGCTCTAAGATTCTGCAATCCGCCGTCCTGTCCTTGCTATAAAATTTCGTTTAAAAGCATCAAAAGAAGAGCTAGCAGATGCAAGGAGCTATAACACCAGCCATTATGAAGTAACAGTGGGCAAAAGTTCAGGCGAGGGTCCCACCCTACGCAGTAATCCCCAAACCAAAGCCAGCACCACTGCACTGACCGAAAGAAGCCGAATACAGATGGGTGGTTGTCAAAATTAGGGTCCCTTTTTGGGTACCCTAAATATTAGGTGCCGTATTATAATAAGGACCCAAAAAGGGACCATAATTTTGACAACCACCCAGATGATGGAGAGAAGGAAACCCCCCTTTCCCACGAGGATGGGCTTGCAGCCAACGGCATCACTTCTCAGCTTCTGGCTCTTAGGCTCTCATCATATACACACACATACACACATACACACACACACACACACATATATATATATATATATCATCTATATATATGTATGTATATACATACACATATGCACAGATCCGTGTATTTCCGTGTATTTGTTAGTTTACACACACACATACATACATGAGCGAAAAAATAGGTTGCACCCCAACGGCATCCCCAACCCCTCCCCATGAAACGCCTTGGCCTTCAGCTTCGGAGTTTGGTTCCCGCCCCCCTCTGTGGAATGGTCGGGTGCTTCAGACTCTAGGCTGCAGGGTTGAGGCTTCAAGTTTCGGGCTGGTTGGGGCGGGGGAGGGGGTACAGGACACCACTCTATTATACATATATATATATATATATATATATGTGTATACATATATCTATAAATAAATAAATATATATATATATATATGCATATTTGTATTTACATATATATATATATATATATATGTGTTTACATTCATATGTGTTATATGTTTGTGTATGTATTTATTTATGTAATGTATGTGTGTATATATATATATACAATCCGTATATAGAAAGATGTACATATATATATATATATGTGTGTGTGTGTAACACATCCAATACAGGATACAGTATATGCCATCGAACGGAGGCTGTTTTCACCGGGGCTTAGATGAAGATCTTGGGTCATGACAGCGACTGTAACGGGGTGCTGTTTATACTAACATTCTATAAGGGACTATGAGGGGGTGCTATGTACACTATAGTACAAACTAGGGAGTATAACGGGGTATTGTTCGTACTATAAGCATGCAGGGACTGGACTATAAGGGGATGCTTGTGGAAATAGTTCTGATCCCAACTCCCGGCAGCGTTTGCTTTCGGGGTCCGACTGGATGTTCTGATTTATCTACGACTTAAGATTCGTGCTCCAGGGCTGTGTGCTGGATGACTGGGGAAGTATCCTGCCGCTCCACCCCAAATCGCAGGGTTAAGGCTTAAGGGTTCAAGGTAGAATGTTAAGGGGTTGCCTATCTCTAAACTCTAGGCCCGAATCTGCATCCTCATGAAATGGCGTCATGATTGGATTGAAGCATGGATTGAGCACAAGGGTTGTTGCCACAGGGCCAAGGCTCTTGCAAGCAAGACATACCGTCGTGGTTTCGGGCTTGGCGTTTAGTACGGAGTCAGAACTACGAGCTGGGTTGGCAATGTGCTGATCTACGTACTGTTTGCTTTACAGCCCGCGTTCACGATATCCCACCCAATCTTGCATCAGCCTTTCTACTGTGTGTCGCATGAGCGCCTCTACAGCTGTAGAACGTGCGTTTTCTCTTAATTAGGGGTTCCGACTAGGAGGGTCGACAGTACACAAAAAGCCACCACAGCGGAGTCTCTTCAGGTGCTTTGGGTCTGTGTGCCGGCCGCAGGTATTCAAACCGAGAAGCCTGTATCCCGAAAAACCTCAGCCCTGAGCCCACTCTGAAACCTGCAACCATAGCTGTTGCAGAACCCCAAAAGACGCATGTGTGTTCAACGCCAAAGACAAAACATCAATGTCGAGTCATATCACGTCATATTACTTTATGTAATATCACGTCGCATTATACTATATTTCATTATGCTATGCTACATGATATCACACTGCAACATGCTATACTTTACTCTGTCATACTCTTGTGTGTTCTGGTATACTCTTGCATATTATATACAAGCATATTTTCCGTGTGCACACACACACATATATATATATAGATATAGATATAGATATAGATATAGATATAGATAGATAGATATCAAGGTCAACGCCTTCACTCGAAGTGGCGACTGCACAACGGCACTGCTTTGGCTTCGCACGTTTGAGCAGTCCCCTGGCCACATACCAGTCAATACTACGGGCCCTAAACCCTACACCCTTAAACCCTAAACCCTGAATATGTACTGCCACTACTTTTCCTTCTTACTAGAGTATACCATACCCCAGAGAGCCCTGTTCTGACTATTGCGGCCCCTTTCTCAGAGAATTCGGGACGGTGCCCTTCAAGAGTTCAAGCTGGAGTTGTCTCAAGTGACCTGGCCCATGAATCTCGAAATCCTCTACTATAGCGGCCGGAATCACCTATACCATCTGCTGCTTATAGTCCCTAGCATCACTACCGCACAGTATATCCCCAAACCCTATTCCAGTTGTGAAGGCTCCTACTACGTGTCAGGAGGGCTGCATGGTTGCAGTGATCCGTGCGGCAGGCCTTTGCCACACCAACTCCGCTCAGCTCGTCGAGACGGCCAAAGTTACGGTGGAACCACTCGACAGTTCTCCAAATCAGGTGCGACAAGAGCCGCACTGACGAGAATGTGCTCTGCAATGAACCTGCCGTGTCAAAACCCCTGAAAAGATGCTCCAGTGTGTCCGGGTCGTCGTTGATGTGAACACACCATTCTCTCGCAGCTCCAATTCCAACGTAGCGACAATTCCCTTCAAGGTTCTGATAGCACGCTCAGTAACAGGCGCGTGCCTCTCAGCAGGGAAAGCTTCTGATGTGCCGTGGTGGACCATCGGACAGGAAGTCAAACAACTACATTGGGTGCTGTCGCATGGATTGGGTCCCGTGGTCTACCTGGCACGTCCCCTGCAGCGTCACCACGTACCCCCTGTTTCTAGCCGATTCTAGCCTTGGATCAAACTGCCCTTGGCCTTTGTCTACAAAACGAAGATGTCAGCAAAGTTTAGAGCCTCAAACCTGGAGTTGGAATACCGAAATTAGTGGACTCGATTCAACTCCACCAATCCGAAACTTCTGAGCTGAGAGAATTCAACTCGACTTCGATCCTCGAAAGTCTTAAAGTTCGAGCCTGGGGTTCAACTTCTTGAACTTATGCTTCGGCGTCGGGTTCTTTGTTGGAGGGTTCGTCGGTTGGGAAAAATGCATTTGTTTTTACAAACTTCATCTACTTGGATGGGTATCTATGTAAATCTGCATGTTTATATATATATATATGTGCTACCCCCTAAAACCGCACACAGAACCTCGGCAATCTAGATGCGGAAACCTTGACCCTCATTCGGTTTCATTCTGCACAAAGCCCGGGACGGGTAACTTCCCAAAACCAACCTCGACCAGGTAACTGCTCGTGTGCATATGTGTGTTGCAAATGTAACAAGGAACCCTCCAAAAATATCGATGGAATTCGTGTTCATGGACATGCTCCGAAGCCCAACGGGTATGTCTTTTCCTGGCAGTCTACCCACCCTCCGCGCCTGAGAGAAGTAGTTAGAGTCAGAGGAGACGAGACAAACTGCTGGGCTGATCGAAGCACAAGCCTGCTTCTGTTAGCTTGTCAGTCAAGACGTGGACCTGGAATGCATTCCTAAGTTTAGTCTATGCCATGCAAACTTGAAGCCCTAGTTCATCCGTCCACGTTTGACGCACCCAAGCCCTAAGCCCTAAACCCTAACCCAGAACCCTAAACCCGAAACCCTAACCCTAAAACCTAAATCCTAAACCCCAAAACCTTAACAACAAAGCCTTGGCATCTGAGCCCCAACTCAGATCCGGAATTGCTGCTGGCCTGCGCGAGTACAACGTGCTGCTCAACGGCTTTGCCAAGGAGACCTGCTGTCGTGGACCAAAACTGCTACAAGGCTATAAGGGTCCTTGCGAGGGGTATCGGGTACCATTAGGGTTCCTATAAGGAGTAACTGCTATAAGGGTCCTTATGAGGGTTACCATACAAGGCTCTTACTAGGAGTACTATAGGGTTTCCTACTGGGGATTCCTTCTGCTACGGCCCTTGACCTCTGAGGGTTTCCTAGGGAGCCCCGTCTTGATCACAGGGACCCTTCGAGGGGGGTTAGGGGGTAGGGGGGTAGGGGGCTTTAATACCAGCAATAAGGACCCAACAAGGCTTATTTAGGGAGTATAGTGCCCTACCCCCCCCCCCCCCCCCCCCCCCCCCCCCCGTGACTTCACGGAGCATCACAGGCCTGCAGCTTTGCCGGAGAGCTCTGCTGCAGGGACCTTAATCATTAGAATAGGTTGTTGGGGTACGTTACACTATAACTGTATTCAGCAACACCAATTTAATAGTGGTAATTATTGAGGCCCGTAATTATGAGAATAGGGTTTCTGGGGTATAATGTACTCGAACCAGGTGAAGGAAATTCCTGTGTTGCGTTCTGGATTCTTGCCAACAGAAGCATGGACTCAGAACAGCCTGCGCCCTTAGGTCCATTTTCGTCTTCTCTTTCTTACCCTAAACACCTAAACCCCAAACCCTAAAGCCTAAAACGTTCCTTTCGCTGGCAACAGTCATCCGGGCGATTCCCGCAGCAACTGCCAGCCCAACAGCTTCAGCCTGAAAGTCCTCGACCCTTCAAAAGCCCCGACCATACAGGATACAGTACTATGTCCTTAGTGGCCCATATAGGGAAGTAGCATTTCATGCCCGAAAACCCGCTGCCAAGTATTAATGCTTCGGCAGGACACGTGTACTTTGAAACACAGGCACCTTTTCAAATGCTGACTCATGTCGGTGTGAGGCTGCATAGTCACACACTCGATGTAGTGTTGAAAGACTGTCAGGCCGAGTTAAGACTCTGGACAGACAGGTGACGATAGGCAGCAGCTTTGGTGGCCAAGCTGTACACCGACAGAGCTAAAAGAAACCCGACACCGTAAGTTCCGCGTTGGGATCTCCAAGACGCGGCTCCCGCAGCTTGTGCCAATGGCGCGAAGCTATCGATTCTGCTGCATCACGGTTGTCGTCACAGCTGCCGCTCTGGCTCTCGCTGCTGCTGCCGGCTACTTGTTTCTCATTTGGCTCATAGTCACTCTCTTCGGCGAGGTATTCAGTGAAGTCGACGATGCCCTGCGCCTCGGAGTGGTTCAGCAGTTCCTCTTTAAATTTCCTGTCTGCATGTCGCGGCAAAGGATGCAGGCAAGCACCTCTGCCCAAGCAACTTGCGAAGAGCTCCGAGGCCCCAGGAAATCCGAAGCACTAGGCCTTGATCCAATGAGCCGCAGGAACCCGAAAGACAAATCTAGGAGCTTTAATATACTTACCAATACTATTTTGGGGGCTCCTTAGTATAATTTTGGGCCCCAACGCCCCATTAAGGCCCCTATATCAAACCTCGAACCTGAGCCCCCTTATATACGAAGGCCTCATCAACTTGATGACCCAGGTCAACGCCTACACCGGTCATTTTGTCAACAACTCTCGGTGCGATTTTCGGCTACGTCCAGGACACCTGGAGCTTGTTAAGCAACTAGGAGCATCTAACACTCCCGAACCACAACCCTAAACCCCAAACCCCTAAACCTTAAACGTAAGTGGGGTCGGCTGCGAGGATCATCCGATGAACGTGCTCATAATGATTCTGGCGTCCCTCCTGCTCATGAATGCCCTTGCTGACTTGGATCTGTCGCAAGCCGGCCTAGAGTTTTGACTGCCTTCAGGCATTCTGTATACTGAAAGGCTACCTGAAAGAGTCGATCCAGGATCTATCCTCGATGGGAGTTTCATTCAGAATACAATAGGGACCCTTATCTAAAACCATACATCGCAAGATCTTTGGTGGTTGTAGGACCCCCACGGGAGTGCCTAATTTTTAAGAACCACCTCATACGAGCTGCAGGTGAGGATTCCGGCTTGTCTGGGAGCTCCCTCAAACAGGGTAGTTGTCGAAAATTAAGTCATGACCTTCTATCTACACGTTTACATACACACATACACACAGATAAGCATACATGCAGTTCTTCTACTCTAACATAATCAACCAGCAACCACTCCTGTTGTATACACAGGTGTTTATAGATGTAGACACCTACTTCGATTTCGTTCGTGGACATGCCTATACGTTTTTGTCACGTGCACCCATACGTACACTTGCTCGAGGACGGGAGATGATTGGTACATAGTGAGACAGACAGTGATGGACAGGCAGCTAGACCCCTAAGCCCAAAACGCTCACCTGTCTCTTTAGTGTTCCATATATACGTGCTGACATTGGTTCTCTATTCTTTAGGGATGCACCCTTGAAGAGACAACGACCCGGATCTCAAAGCTCGGAACCTTGGCCAAAGTCAGCCAGCGCAGGCATGCGAGAGATGCAGTCAAAAGGCGACATCTCATCGTCATAGTTATATCTCTTACACATACATACATACATACGTACATACATACATACATACATACATACATACATACATACATAGCTACATCTACATCTATGTCTTTTTCTAGATTTGTTTATTGGTATTTATACACATATTTGTATGTATATTTATATTTGTATCTATTCGTTTATATTTTAATTCTCGTGTACAACTTTGTGTCTATACGTGTATTTATATGGTCTTATTCCATAATACGCCATATCATATCATATCGTTTCATATTTCGGTTTTAGGGGGGGTTCAGGGTTGTCCGGCTCAGGTCTAAGAGTCTCCTACATCGCAGATTGTTGTGTCAAGCATGTGGGCTCCGATGTGGCGATGATGTCCCGAAGACAGCAAACGGCAAGAGCTTTGGGACCGGAGAAAGGAATTGCGGTTCAGGGTTAAGAGTATATGCATTGTAATAGATTATGTCACATTGTATTATACCTTATTGTACCACAGTATGTTGTACTACACTATGTTACGTCGTATTATGACATAAGATATATTACATTGCATTATGTTACGTCTTATCACATCGTGTCTCGCAATTCGATTAGTTCCCCTCGTCCCAGAACCTGTGAGGGGCGCCTTGCTCTCAGCCGAACCTGAAGCCCTGGATCGCCTTTCGCGTTGAGCCTGACGGGCAACACCGAACCCCAGGCCTCAATAACTCGAAGCTTTGAAAGTCTAGTCAGGAACACTGAGGTAGATCCGTAAACGAAAGCCACGAAGCTACACCCAAGGCGAGAAACCCCACTGCCCGCGCCTAATCTCTACCAGGAGGGCCGGATCCAAGAGACGAGGCCTCGTCGCTCTGTGTACATTATGGGGGCTTTACAATTCGAATAGCTCGGGCTCCGTTATACGGGTCAGTATAGGGGCTACTAGAGAGGTTCTACACTATATTGGAGGTTAGTCGTCTAGGCCTTCCTGCCAAAGGTAGACGACGAGGCTGTGGGGTTTCACGAATTCGAGGAGCGCTCCTGTGAGGGTTACCGGACCCCAGTTGGGATTGTTCGTAGATCTTCAACCCCATCTGAAAGCATTCTCAAGACTCACGCCCTGGAGAGTTCCGTTGAAGTGCAGGAGCCCATGCGGTGAAGCTTGCTTCTTAATACACACCTCGCAAATTGCACTTGCAAAGACTGCTTCGGGCAGTTCAATCTCCTTGCACGTTCATCCAAGACTGTGAAGCCTCGTCTAGCTCAGACCGAAGCCCTAGAACGCGTCGAGTGTTGCAAGGGAGCTGCTGCAAGCCATGCGGACGCAGACTCTGAAGCCCGACGTGGTGTCTCTCACGGTCCTTTGGTCATGATGCGCAAGCTTTGGGTTCTCTACGGCCTTTGGACGTGAAGGCTGAAGCTGAGGTGCTTTGTGGTATGGATCTGTAGCGGCTGGGCTTGAGGATTTTGGGACGCCGCTGGGCCTAAGGCATCTCTGAAACCCTTTGCCTTTCGGGAATGTCATCCCGAATGCACAAGTTCCAAGCCCAAGCCTACCCGGAACCAGGAGTTCGGGAATCCGAGACCAAACAATTTTCAACCAGAAAAGCGATTTTCTTCCGTTGGACCTTTAACGCCTAAAACCTATTCTAATACTACGGCCCGTAGATTATACTCTGAACGCAACCCTTATGGAAGCAACTTTGAAGGAGCCCTAAAACTAAATGCCCCGTAAATGCAAGACCGAGCCTTGCCCTCCGACAAGGGTCGAAAGCTGCCACGTGACCAAAGGTCCGAGCAGACTGTAGACTCTACACACGAATTTGGTTCGGGGAGATGTCGAATACACAGGAGAAGGGCTCAGTCTCTCTCTCTCTCTCTCTCTCTCTCTCTCTCTTTCCTAATATGACTATGACTACCATGTCTTTCTCTTACTTCGATTTGTTATTGTTGTTGTTATTATTGTGATTCATACATTTCTATGATTAGTGTTGCTAGACCGAGGCAGTAGCCGAATGCTACACCCGCCGTGGCGACGTCGACGGGGCCCTCGAGTGTCTGGAGCGATTCAAGGTGCACTAGGGGAAGAGTTACGATAAGTGATTCAGGGTTACTTTAGGGGCCTAAATAGTTCCTTATCAATCAGAATATGATATAATGGACACCAAAACCCTACTCTAAACATGAAGGCCCCCCTAGAATACTATCAGGCATACCATCAATAAGGGACTACAAGGGCATACGATCAGGGTTGCTTTGAGGGTTACTAAAGGGCTATGATCTGGAGCATGTGGTCTTCAAGTGGCCAAAGTGCGGAATTCCTTCGAACACACTCGTGCTCGGCCAGCCTTTGTACCACAAGCAGGAGCCTTTGCAAAGCACATTGCGTGGGGTTGCGGTCTGAGTCCCAAAATCCTGAATCAGACATGACTTGCTTGCACCATGGGACGGAAGCAAAGGGCAGGGTAGGTGCCGGAGCTGTTGTCAGAAGGGCTGCTAAAGGAAACATAGCTTACGATGTTTTCTCCTTTCGGAAACAAATCTACGAGCCCATCGCGCACTTCAAAATACACATAACGACTCCATGGCGCGACATAAGGCAACGAGGAACCATCCCTTTTTCCTTAGCCAAGTAATCCCGAAGATGCCTCCAAAACTTCCTGGAGCAATCCATCAGCCCAAGCACGTGAAACTACCTTAGCCTTCAGCCGTCATCGCGCTCTCACTCGCCCCAAAGCCGACTTCACAGAGTTGAGGAGCCGGAGAGTCAAGCTTTAACGGCCTCAAATCAAGGACCAAGGCCCAAGGTCCGAGGCACAGGTGTAGATATTGGCCAATCCGCAGCTGCGGCTTTGCTTCCCAGCGTTTTCTGCAGACCGAAGTGAGCCTGGACCGGGTCTTCTTCAAGACGGTCATGAACTCCTGTGCTGGAAGAGGCTCATCAGCCGCAAGAAGTGTTTGCGGTTGTTGGGGGATTCTTCGGATTTCTGTGCGGGGCCCGGGCATTCTCAAGCTCTGGTCCGAGAAGCGTCTCGTAATTGGACCCTGGTCTTTTGCCCTGCGCTGTACAACCGCAATGCATCGGAGCAGTTCCTCCGATGTACGAAATGTTGTGACTTCTTGTTGTATGGGGCTTCTTGGTTCAGGCAGGGGGTTCCTTATCATAAGTATACGTAGCTTAAGATACCCCAACACCCTATTCTGATTATTAACCCCCCTATATTACTTCGCCAGGCCTTGTAGAACTTAGGATCAGCTTAGGGCTTCCTGCGCCGAAGACCACGAAGGTGACGTTGCATCCACGCGAATGTGGATCCAAGCCATGCAACAACACGGCTTGGATGCAGATGTGGCGAGCTCCAACATGGTCCTGAAGGAGTGGGTTGCTTGCAAAGCGGAAGAAGCATCTTCCAAGCCTGAAACACTATACAGATACAACACCTCTCCTGGGTTTTTCCTAGTCCCAAAGCAAGGATGCTATAGTAAATGCTGTCGCTACTATAGTGATTATGAGGTTGCCCCTAAACCCTAAACCCTAAACCCTAAACCCTAAACCCTAAACCCTAAACCCCTTATGCTTAGCTTTTTCGCGGGTTACTTCCTCTCAGGCCTACGCCAGGGCCGGCGACGCAGAGGGAGCTCTGGCCTGGCTCAAATCGCTGCTTTGTCGTTAAGCAACACTTTGCATTGGGTTCAGGGTTTAGGGTAAATCTTGTTCATAGGGTTTAGGGTAAATCTTGTTCATAGAAGTGTCAATTCTTACATACATAATATAGTATAATATGATACAGTGTAGTATACTATAAGTATTATCGCCCTGCCTGAGCTAGGATGCCGGAGCGGAATGACGTGAGCCCGGGGCCCGAGTAAGAAGGGAGCGTCTTTGGGGCCTTGTGGGGATTTAGAGGGTTGTAGTTGCTTTTGGCAGGGTCCTGGGGGCTTTGTAGGGCTTCTAGAGGTTTGAGGTTTAGAAGTTGGGGATGCTTGTGGGGGTTGCTTGGGCATGGGGTGGTGGGGCTCCAGAAAGCAGGGCGCCATCTCCTGAAAAACGCATCTTCGTTGTGGTGTCAGCGGCTTCCAGCTTGCGAGCTTCGGCCGAGTCGTGGTGGGGCTCTGCTGCGGGGGGTTTTGTTTGGAAGCTTAGGGCTTCGGTGCTTGAAGGCTTTAGGGCCGTTCTGGAGCTCTGCTGTTCTGTCCTCTCCTCTCCTCGCCTTCTCCGGTGACGTGCGCTGCAAGCCTCCGGCCGTAAGCCCCACGCCCCGAACATGAAGAGTCACAACACAACTTTCAAGCCTTCCTGCCACATCCGCAGACCCAAATCCAATGCCGGAGCTGGAACCCAAACCCTGACAGCTAACCCCTGAACTTACGCACTAAACCGGGAGTAAAGAGAACAGGCTTCAACACTGCTGCCAACGCCTACGCCAAGCTCGGACGCCTGAATCTCGTGCTGCAGATCATGGAGGAGATGAAGAGCTCACAGGCACCGCAGGGTTTGGGGTTTACGGGTTTCATGGTAATTTGCCGAACGCCTCGAAAGGACTTCGTGTTAGCTCCAACTCCTAAAAGTTGAAGGCTCAAGTGCAGCTCCTAGCTCTCATCCCCAAGGACCCGGCAACCCCAAACTCCGAAGGCCCCGAAGGTCCCGAAGCCGAAGACTCTAAGCGGCAACCGAAAGCTTTGAAGCCGTTGCCTTTCCCTGAAGCACTCGACATGCAACTTCACCGACATGCAGGAGGATTGTAGTAAGCACCACACTGCTGTAGTGACACTGGCTGGGAACATGCACCAGCAAAAATGGAGGAGAAAAGTCTACATGTCGCCGTAGGGTTTAGGGTTTAGGGAGGCAGCTGTTGGGTCTGACAGTTTAGTATTTACGGTCACTACCCAAACCGAATCTCGACCGCACTCCAGTGCAGCACTTCGAGCTTTCCTGGTTATCAGCTGGTACTCCACCTTAGAACCCAAGCCCTTGAAGCTCTAAGCCGCCCTAAAGCACTCCTTAGCGCAGGTAACGCCAGACCTCATCACGTACACCGTGGCCCTGACGGCCTGTGGCAATTCCCAGCCGGCACTGAGCCTCATAACGATGGGTTCCCGATAAGGGTTCTTACAAGTTCATATGAGGCTTAATGATTAGAATTGGGTCCAAGGTTTGAGGGGGTTGAAGGTCTAGAGTTGAGAATGGTAGAGCTATAAGGGGTCCGTAAGGGCATCTATTTACATAGAAAGGGTCTCGGGGGTCTCTGTAGGAGGGTTTTACAATACTTTAACTTGGGGGGGGGGGGGTGGGTTGGTTGTTTTGATTAGAATCGGCCGGTGTGCATGATGGCAACATGGCGTAGGGTCTACAAGGGCATGTTTCCATCATTGATTCACACCTCCATCATTTGCAGGGCTGACGGGTAATTGCTCGGGCTTGAGGGCTGTAGCGATTTGGGGTCTAGGATGCTAAACAGCTCCGAGGTTTGAAGGTCGCCAGCTTTCAGGTCTTCGGGCGAAGCATTGAGAGCGTTACTTGTTGAGGAAGCCCTCAAGCCCTGGCCCTGTAGGCCTTTGCTTGTTGGGTCCAGGGCTTAGGGGTTTAGGGCTGTAGGGCTGTAGAGTTAAAAGGCTTAGGGCTTTCGGGATTAGGGTTAGGGGTTGCGGGTTTAGGGTTTGAGCTGCTCTCAACGTTCGTAGGCCCCAAACCCCAAAGCCCCGAAATACTGCTGTAGAAGCCTGAGGAATTCCGCGAATTCTTCCATACTGTTCCTGATTCCCATGGTAGTATTGTGCAGGTCCCTGCATAAAGAATCCCCTATCTAGGGCTTTCCGTCTGAGGTACTTTGGCAGGAGGCCCTGGGACTCTTGCAGACAATGCAGCAGAAGAATCTTGATCTAGACCGCCACTTCGCAGGATACTCTAGGGGGCTTCATCATTCCTAATCGTATCCTCTTAGCAGGTAGAGGATAACCTGCCTATGTAGGTGTATGGCACTATCCAGCCCCAATAGGATAGACATAGATCTTAAAATCTCAGCCCCAATACTAGAATAATCGATCTTAAGATCCCGACCTAAGTTACCATCCTAGGGATAATGCTTCCTTCTATCTGAGTGCCATACGCCTAACTAGGTAGGGGGGTCTTGCAGACTTTTGGTTAGGGTTTGGGGACAGGATTGTAGGTTCAAAAGCCGACGAAGACAACGACAAAAATCGCAGAGCGACAAGGGCTGAATCGCGGTGGGAAAGACAACGGCAGGTGTGTGTTTCAATTTAGTTGGGAATGGGGATCCAAATAGACTGGGGTTCTCAAGGGGCTGCTGGAGATGAGTAATGGGCGTCGTTCGCAGTTTCTTGGAGCAATCCGGCAGCAGACACTTGAGCAAAGCCCATGCCCAGTCTTGGCCACCTTGTTAGCTCGAAACCCAGGCCTCCAAGCTTTGAACCTCGAAACCATCATGCCCTACAAACCCCACAGTCCCAACTCACAGTCCCAACGCCTCAAGCCCTCAGAACATCTTTGCAATCAGAATTGGCTTTTTTGAAGTAAATTCTACTGTTACTACGTGGGGACTATCAGGCAATACCATGGCTAATGATTCCGACCCCTCTTTTAAGGCCTAGTGTTCTGTTTTTTGCCCAGGCAATGCTCTGCACGCACTTCGGCGCGCTGGTGTTCCTGAGTTGTTGGAGAAAGCGATGCCTTAGGGTTGCCGGGTTTAGGGTTTAGGGTTTAGGGTTCAGGGTTTGCACGGGGTTGGGGGCTCAGCCTTTGAGGCTTTAGTGCCTTGGGGTTATAGGAAATAGGGCTTTGGGTCAAGATCTTTGGCGTTTCGTGACTTTGGCGGCTTTATGTAAGCCTAACCCGCCTAACCCGATGAATCAAGCTTAGAAGCTGGACCCAGGCCTACACCTCTCATCAGCTGATAAGCCGAACCTCGATGTCCAACGCCTTACCGGGGCTTATGAACTCCTGAATCTTACAAAACCTGCCCTCAGGACCTTCTCAAGCAGTGTCTGCCGAGACCTTTCCTAGTCCCCTTCCTTTGCTCCCGACAATGAAAAAACCTTCCTCTGCGAAAGTACATGGGACGTTCTTCCCGGACCTCTTGACAGACTCCGAGAGACTGCTCAGAGTAGGAGTAAAGTGGATCTCCGCTTTCGGGACCCCTAGTGACCTACCCCACAAGACATGTACGTTTGTTGGTCGTTCTTCTCAAGGCCCTGCCGCTTTGCAGCTCGTTTTGTTCAAAGTTGTAGGGGCTTGGGTCGGGGAGGGCTGGGGCACCCTGCCGACAGCCATGTCCTTGGTAGCAGAAGGTGCGGAAGTTGTTTTTCTCGGGCTTCAGAACAAGGTGTCGTAGAAATTACCACATTATTCCTTAAGGCTCAGTATATGTATACTAGATTACAACACCAAACCCCTGTTGTAGTTATTGAAGTATGAAGGTCGTATCATCTTACAGTCCCTCCATACTTGTAATATAGTAAACCCCAATTGGTTAGTTCTCTGAATTAGGGTCCCTTTTCACATCCCCAATATAGCATAAAAAGGAACTTTAAACGTGGCCCTAATTTAGAGAGTTATCCAAATGTACAGGGATGAACGGAGAGCCGGTCTCTCTGGCGGGAGGATTTTGGATTCAGGAAGCGGTGCAGAGGTTTCTTGATGCTCCAGAGGAAGGTGGCATTCAAATTCAATGACATTTTATCGAGGTTTCACAGAGGCTAATGGGTGCTTTGCAACGTCTGGGCTGCATCTGTAGGGAAGGGGGGTCACCTGTGTCTTTTTTTTGGGGTTCACTTGTGTCTTTTTTTTGGGGGTCGCTTGTGTCTTTTCTGCTGGTTCGGAAGCAACAGTCTCGAACGAAAGGCCCCCCGGGGGGGCCTCTCTTCCAGCCACCCGCGGCTTGGAACAAACCTGCGGGAAGTAACGAAGTAAAGAAACACACCATGAATGAATGAATGAATGAATGAATGAAT